CCCAAAATCCCCCAGCCGCGTGGGCGGGCGGGGGAATTCTGGGAGTGGAGGTCCACACATCTTAGAGTTGCTAAGTTTGAAAAACACTGGTCTAGAAGATGAAGCAAGGTGGGCTATTATGTGGTTGCCCTGCAGGACTTTCAAGCAGGCCAGGACACAGGAGAACAAAGCATTAAGTCAACCTTCCTCAACCTTTAGCTCTTCAGATGTGTTGGGCTTCAAATGCCACAGTGGCTATGGACTGTGAGCTTTGAACCCCAACACGTCTGGTGGACTCCAAACTGGGAAAGGCTATATGAATTAATCCCTGATATAGGTCTGGAGAAAATAAGGAGTTCTTCCCTTCTGAAAATAGCACTTAGAATACTAAGAGCATTAAGATCAGGGATAAATGGTTTCCTTTTTTAACTTGCATTAAATTCACATTTAATTAGTTATTTGTGGATGTATTTTTATCTCAAATCATGCATATCTAAATATATTTTGACTATTTGTGTGTGTGCATGTGTGTGTGAGAACATCTGGACACTTCTCTTATATTATTAGCATATACTGTCCTGAATTATTGGACTAGGTGGTATAAAAATCTGTGCAATAATTTTTTTAAAATAGCTCTGTTCCAGTTTGCATAGAAGTTTGGGAGGGGCAGAAGCATTCATGCGAGAATCTGTAGAGATCCAATTCCTGAAGCATCTGTAATTCAAAGCTTTGTGTTGCAAGCATAGGGTTTATTAACTGTAGCAGGGAGGAGGAATGAGAGATCATAGAATCATAGAATCATCAGGTTGGAAGGAACCTTGGAGGTCTTCTAGTCCAACCCCCTGCCCAAGGCAGGAGCCATCAATACTCAGCCCCATTCTTATTACAACACCTCCCTTGCAAGGTATCCACAAGATGCTATCAGACTAACAGCTATTCCCATAATTTACAAAAAGCTAAACAGGATTCTCCAAAGTGGTCAGTAATGACTCTCAAGGGTGAACGGGACAATCCAAAGGGTTGATGTTGTTGTTGTTTAATAGTAGTACTATTAAAGTAGTATTTATTAAATTATTTTCATACAATAAATGCTTGGAGGTTGATGAACAATCTGAAACTTCATAAAGGTGGTCGATGAGCTGAAGAGTTTGGGGACCCTGGGCTAAACAGATGCTTCAAGGATAGACACCATACGCTAGTTTCAGGCAGGAATAAACTGCCTGACTGATTCTTCGTGCCTGGCACCACAGGAGAAGTCTAATGCAAAGGATTTGTTGACATGTCCAAAATATAAATAAATATATTTTGAAAATCTCCATCTCATTTTGGAAGACACACACACACACACACACACACACTTCTTAACCACCAAATACGTAGCTAAACAAACCTATTACCCACCCCAGTTCTTAGCATCAGGGGGGAATATTTTAAATATTTTTATATTTAAAAATCCCAAAATTCTCCAGGGCTGGCACCTTCCATTTTTCATTACCTTCCAATCGCTGTCATCATCTGAAGATCAGTTATGCTATCATCGTTGGTGAGGTTTCTTAAGATGCTGTCCATGAGCTCCAGTGGAACGTGCTGGACCACACTGGCTAAGGCAATAGATGGATTCTGGTCTTCTGCAGACAATTAACAGGGGCATGCAAACCATTTTAAAGTTGAAACATCCTGAACCCCAAGCATCCAGTTCTTGGGGTTTTGTCCATCAATAATAATTAACACACAGGCAAGTCAAAAGTTATACCATAAGAAGATTTAAGTTAATGGACAGAATGGCTGTATAATCCATCAATCAAGCCTACGAGACAATGAACACGGCTGTTTGTTGGGAGAGGTGCTTTGAAATGCATATGAGTAGGCATTAATTAGCTCTCTGGGCCTCATTAAAGCCACCTCCTCTCTTTCAGCGACTGTGTGGCTGCTATGGAGCTTCCGAGAAGACAAGAAGCTGCTTTAATGAGCTGCAGACAAGTGTTGTGCTCACTCTTCAGCACACTGAAAACGCTTCTTTCCGAAGTCTTTCTAAAGCATTGTTCAGCCCTAATAACTAATAATGCCGTCCAGAATCACTTGTTGAGATAGGTGGCTGTATAACTTGATTAAATAAATAAATCAAATAATCAAATGATTAAAATAGAGATAAGAAACACTGCAGAAAGAGAAACAACCCAGATTAAAGAGAGTAAGAATATCGATTATTTCAGCTGCACGCATTTCGGTTTTATGACATAGGGTTATGATAACAACTTCATGGAATAGCTGGATTTTGAGGAAAGCAAATTCTACTAGTAAAATACACAGGAGTGTAGCCAAAATGGACCCATTGCAAAATGAAAAGGTATCTTCCTGTATGGGGAAACGACAAGCTTTGTAACAATGCAGGAAGTCACTAAAAACTCAGGTTTGATAGGGCAGTCCAATGAAAAACAGCCCCAGAAGGATTGATAATCAGCGGTTAGGGAATGTTGAATGTGAGTGAAAATAGAAAAATATATGAAGGGGAATTGTGTAAAGGGGCTACCAGTCTCTTTCTGATTTTTCTACAATGTCTGTTAGGAGAGGAGAATTCCTTGCAAAATTTTAGCAATAGATATATATATTTATTTTAGGATGGGAGGGGGAGGGAGTGGGTGGAAAATGCTAAATACTTTTCTCAGCCCTGGAAGAAAGTTCAGGATAATTTCTAAATCTAAATCTACCTAAAGTTACATTTCTAATATTCTATCACTCTCCACGGGACTAATCCATGGACTACTGTTGGCTCCACCAGATAGACCAGACCAAGAGTCAACTCTACAGGAAGGCTAAAACTACATATATTGAGAGTGGCCCTAATCACAGAATCTTGCAAGTCTGATTGTGCTGGACCTCCTCCTCCTTCTTATACTCCAGTGAATCAGGGAGGTGCCTGTCTGAGCCTCTTCTTGTTATTATCTGTCTGTTGTGCACTTAAGATATGTTTTACCCCTTGTCACTTTGGTTAAGAGAGCTGGCATAACTCCATCAAGGTCATCTTCCTTACTCTCTACAACTACAATCAGGTATACAGTAAACAGGTTTGATTCCCAATGCTGAAGACCCCAGGGGCAGGGAGAATTAACCACTAGGATGTCACCTGTTTGTCCTGGACAAACACCAGTGAAACTTGAGCTTATAAACTCACCAGGTCACAACTTACCCTATCTCTCCAGGTCATTATGAGGTGATATAATGGTCTGTGAGAATGTCCTTGAGAGACAGGAGGAAGAGGAGCAGAAGACTAGACAATGGTTGGATAAGCAGCAGCTAAGCCCATCAAAGGAATGGGGGCATGGCAACCGTCTCAGAAGGGACCCTCCCTAGTTTCTTAGGCTGTAAAGGTGAGAAGGGAGAGATGTGCTTTCAGACTTGCAAGATTCTGTTAATGTAATCTTACAATAAAGGTAGGGTTATTATTCATGGTTGGAGTTTCTTGTCTGAACTACCTCATACAGCTGACATCAATCTTGCAAGTTTATTTGCCATACCCCCATTGCTGCTGTGGGCTCAGCTGCCTCTTATCTGACCATTGCCTAGTCTTCCTCCTCCACCAATCTCTCAAGGACATTCTCACAGACCATTACAGGTTATCTTGAGAATATACACGGTCCAGAACTGTTTCAAGGAAGAATGGGAAAAGAGAGGGAGAGATGAAAATGGATCAGCCTTCTTCCATTGAAGTAAACAGCTCAGTTTGGGAGAATGCTACAAACTCTTCCTTCCTACGGTCCATTCTAGGTGGCCCCTCCTTCTTCAATAGAGGCAAAGCAGACCAATGTATCTTTGTGCAGAGTGAGCCCAGAGACAGAACACAGAGGATTGCAGAGCAGCGTTCTGACAACTTAAGGGCCACCCTGGACCTTGCATGACACATGGAAGCCACTTTTTCAAAATGGGTGGGTCCAGGCTCATTTTGTGAAAGGGGTCTAGAGTTTTAAAGGGTCAATGTTGCCTTAAGCAGCTGCATGTCTTTAGACACCCATTTGACCACTTACACCCACAAGGCACACAATATGGCAAATGTTGGATTCTACCATTTCCGGATGGGGAGGGTCACCAAAAGAAAGCTAGCAGAACTACACCAGTATTTTTGCACCCCTACTGTAACTTCAACAACATTTCATAATACAGTGGTGCCTCGGGTCACAAATTCGGGTCATGAACAGCTCCGGTTGCAAAATTTTGCCTCCGTTCGCGAATGCTGGATCGGGTGACGAACAGGATCCGCGGCCATTTTCCCACCCCTGACACGTGGTCCATGTCCATTTTTCCGCCCATTACACGTGGTCCGCGGCCATTTTTCCACCCGACACGTGGTCCGTGGCCATTTTCCGCCCCTGACACGTGGTCGTAGGGAGGGGGACTCTCCCTCCAAGCAGTAACTGCCTCCCTGTCCTCCACGCCAGAACGGATTAACCGTATTTACATTGAACCTTATGGGAAAATTTGCTTCGGGTCGTGACCAATTTGGGTCGCGACCAGAGTCGCAGAACGAATTAAGTTCGTGAACCGAGGTACCACTGTATATGAACTGTCCTGAACAAAGAGAAAGGCCTATGCAGCATCACCAGTTACTACGATGGGCCTTTGCTAGCCATGCAATAAAACACTGTTTCGAATCCATGCATAAAAAGACGCCCATTCATACCTATTGCTGAAATGATGGTAAAGAGTTCTTTCAAAGAGGGCAGGATGGCTGTCATCTGAGTCTTCCAGATTTTCTGCAGCAAAAGGCTGACTTGGATCACCTGGTCCAAGAAGTCCATGACGGCTTCTTCTCTTCCTGAAGTGGTGTGGAACTGTCCAATGCATCGGACCAGCTGCTGGCAGAAAAGGATCTGGCGTTTGCCCGTGGGTATACACAGAGGGTACTGGATTAAGAGCTTACTGATCTTCACACATTGCTTCAAGCCTGGCCTCTCACAGATCTTCCGTAGCACTTCAGTCCTCAGCAGACTGAAGATGTCGTTGGACGATGCGCCGTCCATCACAAAGGGCAGTCCAAGGTATATGTAATCAAACACGTACAGGCTTCTTTTGCCAAGAGGTCCATAGCCTTCCTGGAGGAGGCTTAAGAGGAACTGAGCATTGAAGAATTCCTCAAAGGCCTCCTGGTGATAAAGGCCACAGACCTCCAGGATCTCTTTGCCAACTGATCGCTTAAACTTGGTGTCCCCCAGGAGAAAGAGATTGGTAGAAAGTTCCAGCATGGACCAACACTGCTCACTGTCCATGGTCCTCTTTAAAGCCTCTATGATACGCCTCACCAGCCCTTGCTTCATGTGATCAGGGTATGACGATGCCAGGATAGCTTCAAGGATTTTATCCATGTTGGCTTCTTGGAAGTTCTCAAAGCAGGTCAGACACGTTCAGCCCACTAGCATTCACCTCCTCCCTGGAATGGAGATTTTGGATTACGTGTCATCAAGTTATAATGATTGCAACAGGACTTAACTAAGAAATAGCGGAGCCCCAAGGATTCCAAATATTTCTGGAGGGCCTGTGAGCCATCACAAAAAAGCATTTGTCAGATTTGGGCAGGGAGGCTTCCTTGCGGACAAAGAATCTGTCGTTCTTACGGTCTAAGAATTTGGATGGCCTCATGCAACTCAGAGATATTCTGGGAAATAGATCTTGCTCAAAGCTAGTACTTTCTTTTGAGGCATGTCATCTCCTCTCTCTCTCTCTATATATACAGTATATATGTATACACACACACAAACACACACACACAAACACACAGAGTAAAGATGACATGCTTCAAAAGACACTCGCATGCACACACACACGTTTCTTTGTTTTTTCTCCCTGCTGCTTTCAGACACCAACCCTGCTACAACATACAAGGTTGCCAGGTTCTGCACAGCAGCGATTAAAATTTGTCAGATGACGACCTGGGCCATAAACTAGTCTTAATGAGCATCTAATTCGTCATACTAGAGTGCTCTGTAATTTGATAGAGTCTGCCTTTCTGCCCTCCTACACCCATCTAATGCTCCTAGCCCTCCTTTTAGATTCCTTTTAGATATATACTTTCCGCTTGCTATCTTTTCGCTTTTTGTAATTATTATTGTATATATTTTTAGAGTCTGATGTATTTTTCTATGTTTTCTAATTGACTACTCCACCCTCCTTGTCTTGTCTGACTGTAATAAGGAAAATACATCTCTCTCTCTCTCTCTCTCTCTCTCTCTCTCTCTCTCTGTGTGTGTGTGTGTGTGTGTGTGTGTGTCTGTGTTCAGGAAGAGAAGAGAAGAGATCTGCATCGTCATGCAGCTTCTCGTCTAGCTGTGCCAGAATTTACTGGCACCCTGTGGCCAGAAATGGAGCGCTTGCTCTTTCCAATTCAATTATACAAAAAGGGTACGCGTGGGGACTCTTCCACTAATTAACAGAAAGAAGCAGGTAATTAAGCTCCCGAAGAAACTCTTGCATTCCCCCAGAACAGGTCAGAATAATGCTCTCAGTGGCTGTTATGCTATGTGCAAAGGAGCAAAACTATCCTTTTTTTCCAGGATGAACAAACATTCTAAAAATAGGCTTAGGTACACTTCTAGCACTGCAAGCCAGAAATCTCCATCATACCCTAAAATTCTGATTATGTAAAGAAACTTTCTGGAGTTTGTTGCTCTCTACAGTATTCCCATTTTTCTGTGTCTTACTCTCCCCATTCCTATCCTGGCAAGGTATCCAAATATTTCCCTTCTCCAGCAAAAAGGAGATCAAAATGACCAAACAAGCATTTTTGTTTTATTTTTCACAGTTTTTCCATTTTTGAGATTACAGACACTTTTATTCTCTACCCAGAGGATGCCATTCTGCTAAATAAGCCAATAAAAGCACATTTTGTTAAAAGCACAGTAATAATGTTCTTCTGTTTTTAAAATTTTTGCTTATACTTTGTCCTTCTATGTTTTCTGTACTTAGATGGGGTGGGGTTTTTGAAGTTTTGGGTAATAATTTAAAAACAGGCAGTAAGATAAATGCATAAATAATATGCTGACAAAGGCATCATTGGGGAGAATATTAACTCTGAGTTCCTTCCTTGTGCCCCCATACCTTTAAAAAGGCTACAGGATAGGTGAAAGTAATTCTAGTCTTCTCCAAAATTCTCTTCTTTCCTTTTCTACACAGGGTCAAGCTCTTGAGAGCTAACTCAGCTGTGATTCTCCCAGGGTCTTCTTTAACAGGATTTATTGAAATGAAAGGGACAGGGATGACAAAGACTTCAGCAACTGAACTATTTCCAGTTTCTCTCTCAAGACAGTAGGGCCAAGAGGCATTCTATTTTTTTCTAATAGTTTTCCTGTGAACCAGCGAGGAAGCAATCCTTTTCAGTTATTATGGAGAGGATAGCTGGTATCTGTTTATACAACCCTCTCCTGAATCCTTACTGGGCTCTGAACTGATTCTTACATCCGCACGTGCTCTGCAAAGAGGAATTCCCAGTGATGAACCACTGCCCATTTCAGCAACTCTATTTTCTCCCTTACAGGATTTAAATTAATACACGTAGTCCCCAGCAAAATGCTCAGCTTATAGATGACCCACAGTTAAGAACGGACCCTGTTGCAGCAAAATTTGAGTTAAATATACAATGATTTGAGTCCAATGTACAATGGTTCAAGTCAATTACACAATACTGCTTATACAGTATTACACAATAATACTGTTCCGGCTTACGTACAAATTCGACTTAAGGACAAACCTTGGGAATGGAACTCGTTCTTAACCTGGGGACTACCTGTAGTCTGAGAAAGGAGTCAGAAGAAACAAAAGGCTTCTACTAGTAGAGCTTTAAGAAACAAAGTGAAGATGAATCAACATGACTTGCAGTCCTTTGTGGCATGTTCATATTCCTGCCTGAAATCAGCCTGGCCTGTATTTATTCTGGGGCTCAAAAAAACAAAAACAAACCCAGACTGTACAGCAGTAGCAAAGGGTTTTTCTTCAGCTGATAAGATTTATGGGATCACACAAAGGAGACCTGCCACAGGAGCTGACAGAGGAAGCATCTGTCCATAAGAAAGAGAAGGAGATGACCGTGCCAACCAGAAGCGAGAGACGTTGAAGATATGCCACATCACTGGAAGTCAGAAAGCTTCCATGCCCTCATGAAGAATCAAGCTCTGAAACATCAAAGGTCTTTGCCACACACAAGGATGTGGGGATTTTGTTTTAAAGGGCCCATGAAACCATTCAATAAAACTCAGGAAGAACATTGCCTCATAAAGTTCCTAGCCCTCACAGTGCATAAATTAATGCTCAGAGTAAGAAAACTAAATGTGCTTTTAAATTCTCAGTGCAGGAAGGCAAATATGATTTAATTTTTGACTTCCTGAACTGACATGGGGACGTGGTGGGAGGGCTCCTATGGCTGGAAAAGAGCTGTTGAAGAATATAATTTGCTCCAAAGAAACAGAATCGATTGAGAGGAGAAGGAATGGCAATGTCTAATAAATGTATCTACGCCATTATTCTTATTCTTACATTTTTACACCACCTTTTTTTTTCTAGCTAGCTTTATTTCTAGCTCAGAAATCAAGTGAACGAACTCAAGGGTGCATCTGGGTTCAGATAAGTGGAAGATTTAACAAAAACAGTGCAACGGTTGATCTCTAGGATTGCCCACACAGGGAAGGAGAAGATGCTGATTCAGCTCTCTGAAGGCTACCAAAGACCTATCAAAAAGACATGAGGTAGTAATAATGGAAAACATTAATTAACTGACCTCCGTTCAATGATAAACTCCATCAAACATGCTCCTTTAAAAAAATTCCTGACTTGTCTGGCTGGCAAATTCTCCTTCAGAGGTTAGAAGCAAAGGTAGGATCTCCAAGCCATGAGTTGATGCTAATCAACAAAGAAGATTTAATCAAGGAAGCTGAAGTTTAGGGGTACTGGGAGAATGCAGCTCAGAAACGTTAAATACTGTACATGGAATGCTGAACCCGGGTACAGGTAAGCACATATCACTGAATTTTTTAAAAGCAGATGATTTAATGAATTCAAAGCAATGATCACTAGGGTTCCAGAGCAGGAGAGGCTAATCAGAGAAGGATCTCCCGGTGAATGAAAGCTCATTTCAAAAATGGAACGAGGCGTGCAAAAGTGCAATATTAGTTGATTACTCTACGATCCAATGCAATCAAAATATTTCTGGATGGTGGAAATGCTTTTTTTTTTTTTTTTTTTTGCCACATTCAGTGTTTTCTCTGGGGAGGGGAGATGGCTTTCTCCATCTCCTTTTACCTCCCTGAAGGCCTGAGTGGCATTAAAAAAAGCAGCCATCAGCCAAAAATTCCCCTGACCTTGCTGTCTTTCATTCCTATTCTATCAGCCCAAAGAATGTCATCACTGTACTTTTGCATCGTCAAAAGGACATCCATAACTCACTAGCAAATTCAGGGCCTCAGGAGTTGTCTGAGACCGCAATACTTGAAGCATGCAAAGTCCCAAACAGGTTAGCCTACATAGAAAGATCAGTCGGTGACGCCTTTTTTATGGCTCTCGGTTTTCTGAAGTGGGAAAAATCCCACGCTTGCTCTTAGAAACTAAAATCTACCGTTTCGTCAGTCGCTCCCTGAAGAAAATCAGATATTCTGATTAGACTCCAAGGACTGGGAAAAAAGTCTTTTTCCCTGCTTCTTGCTCACCTCCTACCAAAGAAAGGGGTTTCTGGTGATTTTCTCCCAACTTTCACCTTTCCATTGGAATGATTTACAAACTACTTTGGGTGAAATCGACAGGCGCCAGTTAAGCCAGCCCTGGCATCAGTCTGCCAGTCAAATGAAGGGTCCAATGGCAGGGCTGAATCACAGGTGGGTAAACTTCAGGCTGGCAGAATCTACCTTATGGTTGGTCCCTCCCTCACCACCCTTGTGGAATTCAGGGATCCAGGGTCAAAAGACACACATTTAGCACCCTCGGAATTTATTGCAATTTTAATGGATCCACCATTAAGGTGCTGGATTAGAAACCAGGAAATTGGGAGATCTAGGCATAGAAGCCGGCTGGGGGGCTTTGGGCCAGTCCCATCTTCTCAGCTCCAGAATCAGGTTGGGGTGGTGAGGAAGATGCTGGAGTGGGGAGACCCAGGTTCCAATTTCTCGTCAGCTCCAGAAGTTCCCTGGGGGACTTTGGGCAGTCACGTCCTCCAAACCACCTCCCAGGGCTGTTGTCGTGAGGAAAACAGGAGGTGGGAGCTTTATGTACACCAACGTGAGTTACATACCTCTATAAATAGAGGATGTGTACCTCTATAAATACATACATAATTGAAAAGAACAGGGAGGCTTGGTTCACATAAGAAAGGGCATCTGTGGGCACATCGAGAACTTTGAGAACATATTGTAGGCACCCTTGTAAAACATCTTGAATGCTGTCCATTCACAA